GCATGGACAATATTTGTGTAGAAAATTAACAAACCAAATGTAGCTTTAAGAACATTGTGAATATTTAATTCTTTACCTTCACCTTGTGAATGCTTCTTTGAGCCACTGTATATACCCGATATTACCGGAAATGATTTTCATAACAGATTTGCTGTAAATAACAAATTTTTGGAATGGTGCTTGCAACTGTTTTTTAACACATTTCCAGCATTTTTCGCCTAAAATATAGAAAATTTCTCTTAAATTACTGTGACCATCTTATGGTTTTAGGTCAACTCAGACAAAGAAAATGAACGAATAGTTTATGAAAAGATTTGTTTTGGTTTTTTTTTTAGATTTGTTGAGAAGTTATTTTTTGATCCAACCAAACCAAAGGAATAAATAATAAGTACTTTTTTAAATTTAGCAAGCGTGCCAAGTTTTAAATATACGAACAGCTTAACTACTTGGAGTAAAAACACTCAAAAATTCTTAATGTCCTCGCTCACTATGTATGTATGTATGTATGTGTGCAGATTCATTAAATTTATAAATGCATACATATGTACAGATGTGTGTATGTACCTCAATTTATGCATTTGTCCCACTTATTTTATTTTCTCCTTCAAAAAATCTCAAGTGTTAATAATATCCCTTTAGCACCATTTATTTCTTTTGCTAAAATAAATAAAAAATAAAATTTGTTTTCTACATGCAGAAATATCTTGTATTTTATGTATGTATGTAAGTCAAGGTTGCCTTACATATTTTCAGTGCAATGAGGGCGCCAGCTGAAATGTGGTCATTTATTATCTAAAGTTAAAAATAATTGTCTTTGCGTGAAAAAAAAACTTTTCAGATTTTTTAAGATAGAAACCGAAGGAAAGTTGTAAAATATAGGGTAATATTGTATGTATGTACATTACACCGTACAAAAAAAAAAAATCGCCGCACACCGCTGAGTTTAAAGTAGGTATTGTTTTTTGCAAAGTAATTTAGATTTTTTTTCGCCGAACCTAAGGGTCGCATTCTTTATTTTTTGCCACAACTTCGGCATTTACAGTCAGATCTAGAAGTATCATACATCGATATATTTCTCTCGGAAGAGAATTTTTTTTTGTTCCAAAGTTCATTGACCTCTAGTGTCCCGTTCCACGTATTACTTATCCACTCACTAGATCGCAGTTTTTACCATCCTAATGTACCACCCTAATGTCAGTAAATTAAAACTCTCAAAAAATTATTAAAATTTTGCCAAGCAGATATTTTAAATATTTCAGTGGAACAATTAAAAAAAAATATTTGTTGCCAATTTATGCAGGTTAGGGTGGTCCTTAAATGTAGGAAGGAAACTAGTACATCAGATTTCCTATGCTCAACCCCTACGTCGATGCTTGCGATTTTGGTTCCGCTTGAAGACGGTTAAGGCGTGTCGCACAGGGGGCAAAGTTCAAAATTATGAAAATGTCTTAACCGACTGCAATCGGTGATATCTGTGACCGTGGTATTACCGATTGAGGGGTGAGACTGAAATAAAAACTGGTTCATTTGATTTTTTAAGGACCACCCTAATGTAGGTGTCACCGAAAAGTGTAAAAAGGTACAAGTACATAGTATTATGAATTGTTTTTTTTTTAGAAATTCACATTTTTTGAGACTGTATATTGGGTTTTTCTGAATACTATTGACCTAAAAGAGCTGCACTTGTTTATCACGGACATGCAGACCTCAATAGTGTAGTACAAGTTGTTAATTATCGTTTATTATTGGATATAAAAAGTGTTGAATTGGAAAAAATTACCACGTTTGAAATCATTACCGCTCGTGGATTTTATGACTTTTTGAAAAAAAGTTAACCACATAACCAACAAAGTTTTATATTTTTTTATACAATATTTAATATTTACTACCCATCAGATTTTAAAATTTTTTATATATTTTTATCATTATCTATTTTTTATTTTTGGCTATTTGTTAAATATTTTTAAATTTAAGTTTTGATTTTGTATTCTTTCTTTGGTTTTGATTTTAATTTATTTTTATTTACATTTTTTGTTTTCTCTCATAACATCCCTTCCAGTAATTTTTATCCAATTTAATTTTTGCTATTTTTT